AATCCAATAAACATTTATTAAGCACATATGATGTTCTAGGAACTGTGTTAAGCTCTGGGGAGAAAATTAATAAAAAGAAAGATCGTCTCTACTCTGAATGAGCTACAATCTAAAGGGGAGACAGCACACAAAAAGAGATAGGAAGGCGGAGGGGGTGTTGGGAGGATGTGCTATGATCCACTGAGTTGAAAACAGGTGGAGCAGTTAGAGGGTACAGTGGATAAAATGCCAAGCCTGAAGTCTTCTTCCTGAGTTCCAATCTGGCCTTAGACATCTACTAGCTGTATGACCTTGGGCAAATCACTTAACTCTGTTTGTCTCAATTTCTTCATCTGCAAAATGAGCTGGAGAAGGAAATGACAAACTACTTTAATATCTTTGCCAAGAAAACACCAAATGGGGTCACAAATAGTCAGAAGTGACTGAAAATGACTCAAAAACAGGGCAGCAGATACAAGATGAAGTGATCTGAGAGTTCAGTTTCTGCCCTCTATAAAGGAAGGCGTTGGGAAGCATTTGTTACTCTGCTCTCCAGGCATGCCAAGAAAGGGGAGAGAAAGCTGAGGGAGGTGTAATCAATCTTAGCTATCTATTTGTTTATCTACCTATCTACCTATCTATCTATCTATCTACTTATTTATTTTTGCCATAAGTAGCATTCAATATCTTTTCCTCTTCAAATTCCTAATATCACTTTGCCTAGATCTCTTTTCAATATTTCAGGTTTAATTTATTTGTCTTTTCCTCATTAGACGTAAGTGCCTTGATATCAGGGGTGTGGCATAACTATCTTTTTAAAGTTACTGACTATCACAGTGTCTGGGACACGGAATGATTTGTAGTTCTAGGGACTGTTCCTTCATAAAATGAATTATGTTCATAAATTTTTAGAAGATTTTTATTGCAAGATTTCATATATGTATAGATGAGATGTGCAGAGTTAGTTAACCTGGTTAAATCCATAAACATAATCTCCAAATCTAGGCATTCTTCTGAGCCTTTCTGATGACAGATGACAGTAGTATACATTAACGGTAATTTCCATTTGCACAGGTATCTTTGGACTAGTAGAAGTGTACAAGTAATGGGTATATGAAATTCTGGGTTTATATTGCCATTTCTTTCTTATTAAAATGACTTCTGCAGTAGCTGAGTTATGGCTATCTGTATAGATTCACCAGTACCAGATGTTCTACCAGATGAGAGTGGCTATAAAGCACAAAATATTTCAGTTTCTGGGATAGCACCAATCCTACAACACTAACATAAGTCACCTTTAACTTCAAGAGCATAGTAAGGTCATAGAGGTCAAACTGAGATGACTGATTAAGTGCTATATAAAAGTGCATTGCCCATAATTCTGGGATTGCCAGATGTTCAATGGTCATCTTTGCTGAGTAGGGAAGCAATGACTGAATACCATGGCCCATCGATTGTTTTTAAGACCCCGGAGAACTATTTCATGTCATCATTCTGAAGCTTGCTGAAACCCAGTTGCCAATTCCACCCACCATATTGCTTATATAGATTACATGCCAACTTCTTATCATTCCATTATCAATCCAGGTCAAGTATCTGTCATATATACCACTCTAGTTTATCACGTAGTACCATCGTTTCTGTGAAACAGATCCTGGTATCTCTGCCTCTTTTAGCTAAGTTTATTGAACAATATAGATGTGTAATAGATTGAACAATTCCCCAGCTTGGTAGCTCTTTAAGTGGATTTAGAGTTTGATACCTTGCCATCACTGTATTCTGACACCTGGCCTCATAAAGACATGCAGACCAGAACCGAGGGAGGCCCTGAGGGAATATGGTATTAGATGGGTCATTTTTAATAGGTGCAATAAAGCGAAGTAAGTAAAGCTAGGTGGCAAAGTAGATAGAGTGCCAGAGCTGAGTCAGGAAGACCTAAGTTCAAATCTGACCTCATACACTTAATAGCTGTGAGACTCTGAGCAAGTCACTTAACCCTATTTGCTTCAGTTTCCTCATTTGTAAAATGAGCTGGAGGGGGAAATAGCAAACCAGTCCAGTATCTTTGCCAAGAAAGCTCTAAATACGATAATGAAGAGTTGGACATGACTTAAACAACTGAAGAATAATAACAAAAAAGTCCCAGATTCTCAGTAATCACTTATGTAAGGGATTATTTGAGTATGAGAGCACTAAGGGCACAAAAAGGGGTAGAGAGAGTTGAAATGAAGAATCAAGAATGACAATTTTTGCCTCTTTCCTAGCTATGCTGAAAGTTATTGAAAAGTAGTTAATTAATACTAGTTTTACAAAAATAGAGCCTAGATGAATCTTGGTACTGAACTTGGTTTTAATTTCTATTTCTTTGCCTATCTGGTTATCATATCATTTTAATGACACCTTTCAGCTTTGAGGTTCAAAGAAAGTCACTGGCTACATGTTTGGTTACTCTTAGTGTGGAGTGGGGACATTTAGTATTCTTTAGCAAGATAAGTAGTATATACCTCTGTGATGACTCTACCAAATAGTTTGTGATCTCATATATATCATATATGCATATATGATGTGCTTATATACATATATACACAATACACAATAAGCATATGCATATATTTACATACATGTATGTATATATGCGTATGTGTGCCTATCTATATATGTGTATATGTAATGAATATATATACTACACATAATCACATATATAGTATATATTCTGAGGCTGCAGTCATCAGTATATAGTAGCTTTAGAAAAATCCTCAGTCTTCTAACATTTATAAGCTGAAAGGATTCCTCAAAGGACCAAGATAGTAAATATCAAATTTCAAGGTCATCATTCTGTCAGGAAACTTCAAAAATGGATAGAATGATGTGGACCTTTACTCTATCTCCCTTAATCATAGTTGCAATGGAAGGCAGTAGAGGTAACAGAATGCCATCTCTTGGTGCTCTAGCATGGCTTCAGTTTGCCAGGGCCTTCTCTGGCCATCCACATCTATTTTGTAGCCTCAGGGGTCTGATAGTATCAATGATTTGGGAGGGCAAAGAAAAGAGTATAGAGCTCTTGATATAAACAGTTGAGATAGCTTTTCCTATAAGTGTCTTTTCTCTGATCTTCTCCTGTTTATGTCAGGAAGAGGAAAGTATGTCTGCTGTGCAGTAGTGAATGAGGAGCTTACAGTCCCACACCTGATGCTATCATTGTTCAAAGAGAGAGGAAAAAGTGCAATATCTTGAGCTATTGATTTGATACTTTACAAACATAACAGGTTGACTTTTCTGTCATGACTTTTGATCTAAGTTTCCTCTGTCATTCTGAGCTTTTTTTCATTTTTTTTGTTTCAATTCTCCTTAATACTAAGACAAGGTCTGTGCACCACTGCCTTAAACATTATCTCCACTGACAAAACTTACAAATAAACAAAAACTTTTTTTGAGTACTGGATCTGCTAGAGTGCACGCATTCTAGATACAAGGTAAAAATAATGTTGGCTTACATCAATCATACAAGTACAAAACATCAGTCTTACTTTCTGAGAATACAAAATAAATTTATCACTATCCTATCACTAACTAAGGTGAAGGAAGAGTAGCCTTATGGGATTTCTCCAATCAGCTTTGACAACTGGAGCACATGATTCAAGATGATTTAAATGGTCTGTGACAAAAAGATAGTTAATAGTCTGTGAAATGTTCATTATCCTTAGTTGGAAGGATCCTCCTGATTTAAGACCTTGCCTCGGTTCCATGGGGTATTAGAGAGTAAGGAAACAGTAATTCAACAACATGCAACAAAGAGTAATCAATCTGAGGCAAAACTGTTAATGTTTTATGAATGTGTTCTGAATACCCAAAGGGGGCAGGTTAATCAATAGAGCAAGATAGAGCAGGTCATTCAATGGCCCATCTTTAAAAATGTTCTCAAAAGCAGATAGGGCAACCCTTGTGTAACCAGGCTCTAGAGTGGTGCTGTGTAGACCTATAAATATTATATGGTCCTTCCAAAGTGACAATGTGGGCTCTTCTCACTTGGAGAGGAAAGGATCATGATTCTACATATGGCTATGCGAGTTAGAGTTGGACTTTAGATATGTAGGAGCTACTCATTCTTCCTTTCTAAGCAAGGGAAACTTAGAATGTTTCCTTGGATATAATTCCTATAAGCCTATACAACCACACTCTGGAGGCTGGTTACACTCAGAAGATAAAGCCTTTCTGTGTTACACTGGACAGAATTTGGCACAAGCATAACATCACATTTTTAAAATGAAAAATGTAAGCTAAACAAGAAGTGGTTAATTCTTTTTTAGTCAATAAAATTTAATTTGAACTAATGAAGTATTCTAGGCCTTTACTTTGTTTCTAGGAAAATCTAAGTTTTAAGATAAAATTCACAGTCCTTTACTGGACTAGTGTTTTAATGTCAACAGCAGTTTAATGTCAACAGAAGAAAACACTACAACTCTGACATCATTCCATCAATAACACCCATGCAATTATTCATATGTGATCCACTTGGGAAAATCATTCACTCAAGGTTCAGTGACAGGCTACATATCAGCCTCATGCTTCACTGAAAATGAGTGAAGTAAATTGTTTGAACACTAACTCCAAAAGTCAAATGTGATAGCAATAGAATACCAGTACAAGGGCAAAGTAACCCACACATTGCTCATGAAGGTCCTATGGGAAATGGAAAGAGGGCTAGGCATGTCATCTGAATAGTTTTTTGGTGACTAGAAAGAATGGGAGCCACTCTATTCATATAATAAAAATAAAAGACCATAGAACATCAGATTATACAACAGTACTTGGTGTTCAGTTCTAGGTTAAAATGGGTGTTATGTTAAAGAAATATTTTTTCTCTTTGATTTAACAAGAGGTACACGTAGGCAGTACTATTATTATGTAGTTCTTGCAGGTAACATTGAGCAAGTTCTCTGAATAGATTGATTAAAAACAAAACAAAACAAAACAAAAACAAAAACAAAAACAAAACTTCAACACAAGAAAAAACTACTTACACCAGAATAGAAAGGCTCGCCAGACACACATATCACATCCTGCTCCTGGATCATCAAAATATCTTTGGCTAGGTGCAGTCGCACTTTGAAAGGCTCCTGATTACCATCCTGCAGCAAACAAATTCCTGTCTTTGTCTTTAGTGGAAAAAAAAGGAAAGAAAGAGAGGGAAAATAGAATGCTTAGTTTCCAGATTGTTATTTCAATGGCCAAATTACATTAAAACATCAAGACTAAATAGCATTTGTGAGCTGGGCAAATACCCTGATGATTGTAAGATTAAAACTTTAACAGTGCTTCTTGTGCATAAAGAAAAAGAAAGTAACCATTTAAATTAAAGTAAAGCTATGAGGAAATTGAGTTTGTGTATCAGAAAATGAACAATAAGATTCTCTGTTAAAAATGAGAATTTTGCCTCCAGTTTTCCTAAATAAAAGGAACTCTAATTCTTGGTTTTGAATGTTTTTTAATTGCAGGGTGACAATATATGAATTGTCTTTCTTAACATTATTCTGGTACTTCAGTAGTTACTGATCCCCTTTTACATAACTATATACAATAGAAATATTATAGCAGGAAGTTGATTTGGAGCAGTTTTCATGGATTTGGACATGAGTATTTTGTCTCCATAGGCAGGTACACATATGCTCTGGCATAAACAATCTCTGTAGAGAGCAATCCATTGACTCATGCCCTTTAGGAGGGAGCCAGAGTATATGTGTTCCTACCACCACCACCCCACTCCATCCCCCACAGAAGAAAAAAAAAGGTTATAAAGGATTGAGCAAATTGGTTCTGTGGAGAGGAAAGGGACAGTAGGGTAATCAATTGTTTGAGACATTTTAATTACCTACCCTGATTCATTATTATGTTGTGGAGGTAATCCTGAGTTCTTAAGGTCAATGCCAAAAGATTAAAAGCTCTGATAAGTCCTACCAAAAGGGAAAAAGTTTCCAATGTGGGCTCAATCCATGACTATCTTCCAAAGGATTGGCCTATCTAGTGCGGATAAACTCATCTTCAGAAAGTTGCCTACTAAGTGATGAAAATTTTCAGCTGCATGATGTCATTAAGACCAATAATTAAGGCACGAATGAATTCTTTCCTGCTTCTGTGGTAGGGGAAATAAATGTACTGATGAAATTACAGATCCTTGAAGATGAACAATAAACCACTGAACCAATTGTTTCTTTTGATTTTTTTTCGGTCTCTTAAGTCTTTGGTATTAACCCAGCCACAAAGAATACAAACGTAAATGCACAGCAAATAATTTGCTCAAACTCTCCCACTTCAAGAGATCCTTATAAGAACTGAACCCAATGATAAACAGATGAGATAAAACATGAGATTTGTATCATATAAGGGTACAGGAACTGGGGGGTATTTACTCAGTGAGTGGACTCTTCTTTTAATTACTTAATCACTACAAAATTTGAATCACTACAAAGTAGGAAGCCTCCCTCAATCTTAAAATACATTCTCACTGTATCATAAACTTTAAAGTAGAACATAGAATGATGCAGTGATGCCTGGGCTTAAAGAGAAAACTATCCCTACCTTGTCTGGTTATCTTTAGATGTTAGAATTTCTACATGAATTGTTTGTATCTTGTCAGTTATAGCATCTTCCTTAAGAATTTTAGTATTCTTTTACATTTGTAAAAAGTCATAAATTAATGATTAATTCTATTTAAATATTCAAAGGAAATGCTTAGAAGTGAATTCACTATTATTTTGGCCAGAGGGTAACAGGTTCTAATGTCAGCAATTATATCATAAGTTTTCTAGTACAAATTCTTCATTTTACACATAAAGAAATTGAGGCCCAAGAAAGTAAAATGACTTGATGGATATATATGTTACCTAGTTCCCTCAGCATAGACAGTGAGCTCTCTCTATTGAAATGTTCTTCTTTCTTCAAAGCCTACCTCAGATAGCATCACGATGAAGCTTTTCCATCTAGATGCCATCTTACCTTCCTTTGAATGACTTGGGACATTGTGACTCCTTTAATTTTTGTTTTTTAATAGTTTCAGTTATGTCTGACTCTTCATGACCCCATTTGGGGTTTTCTTGGCAAAGATACAATAGTGGTTTGCCATTTCCTTGTCCAGCTCACTTTACAGATGAGGAAACTGAGGCAAATTAAGTGATTTCTTCAGGACCACACAGATAGTAGGTTCTGAGGCTAGATTTAAACTCAGAAAGATGAGTCTTCCTGACTCCAGGCCTGGGACTTTATCCACTGCACCACCTAGCTGTCCATGACCCCTTTAATACACTATACCTAATAGTTTGTCAAAGCTTCGAGGACAGGGATTCTGTCTTTTTTTTTCTTTAACCCACAGACATGACATTTTCCAAATGTGACTTGCACACAATAAATTGAAATAAAAGGCATCATCAAGTGGATGTATGACTAGAGAAGGGAACTGGCTTATCAGGATGGAAGAATGACAGATAGGAAACAATCAGCCTGAGTGCTACACTACTATATATGAAATATTAATACAAAATCAGACAATAACCTCAAGGATATTAGGTAGATCTTCTATGGAGCATTTATTCACACAATTGCAGAAACAAGAATTAAATCAGATATAAATGTTTGGAGGAGCTATGATTTGTTCCAATCAGATGACAACCATTGAAGTATTGGACTGTAAATATTCCCAACATCTACCACAAGGCCTTGCACAGACTAAGAATTCAACAAGTTTCTTCAATTATAATGAATTAATAAATGAGATTTGTTGAACTGAATATAAATGAATACTTGAATAAACTGAAATACTGATTTTGTTTTGCATTTTTTTTGTAGGGGAATACCTCCTATTCACAGTGCAATTTGTGCAGGGCATCAAAATAGATTGAAACTAGAAGATACTGATGACATAAAGTGTACAATAAATAGGAAACTCATTTTTGGTACATTTACTTTTCTTCTACATGGATATGAAGTAATAAAAATGGTCTATATACCGTTCTCATTTTGACAATGTTTTGAAGAATAACTCACTTAAATACGTAGTGGTATGTTATTTTTGTAATATTTGTGAAGCACAAGTGAGATCACATAGCTCCCCTGCTCAAAAATCTTCAGTGACTGTCCATTACCTTACCTTGTAGATTCTTTACTCTTTCATTCAAGAACATCCATGGACTGACATCAACCTAGCTTACATCTCTAGCTTACAACGCAGTTTCATCTTTCATGCACTGTTTGTTATACTCAAACTGTACTACTAAGCATCTTGTCTTCCCAGTGTCATCTTCTACTTCTAAGAACTTTCACCTTGAAACTCCATGTTCAGAACAGACTCTCTCCCCACCTCCACATTTTGAAATTCTACCATTCATTCTTTTAAGGACCTACTTAGGTCCTACCTTTTCATTCAGGAATATACAGATATTCTCTATTCTCTATTCTCTCTCTCTCTGTTTCTCTCTCTCTTTCTCTCTCTCCCTCCCTCTTCTCTATGTCCTTCCCTCTCTCCATTCCTCTCTCTCCATCCTTCTCCCTTTCCCTCTTCTCCCTCTCAAATCCCATTCTTTTTTAAAATTCCTGTGCACTTTCATTATAACAATAAATTACTTTCACATATAAATTATATATGCTAGTATCATTCTCATTTTACAGAGGAGGAGACTGAAGCAATCAAAGGTCAAGTGACTTGCCCAGGGTCATATAGCTTGTAAGTGTTGGAAGCAGTATTTAAATTCAAGTTTTTTTCTGATTCTAGGTCCAGCACTCTGTCTACTGAGCCATTTAGCTGCGTTGAATAGGATTTTAGGTGATTCAGAAGGTAAAGGAGAAGAAAAAAAGATAAGGATAATACTCAGTTTTTGAATATGCAAGGCTGAGTACATGGTATCCTCACTAACAGAAATAAGGAAGTCAGAAAGAATTCACTTTTGGGAATAAAATTAACTCTGGGTCATGTAGGGTTTACATTGCCAGCAGGATATCCAAGGAGAAATGCCTTATAAAAGTAGGAGATACAGGTCAGAAGACATAGATTTGTCAGTCGATAGAGATGACAATATAGTCATAACTGTGAAGAATGTGTCCAGACACTTCTGCCACAAACATGAGAACACAGCAATTAGGATTTTGGAGTTCATAAATTCCAAACTTTTTTTCTTATTAGTTGTCATTCAGTCATTTTTTTTCAGTTGTGTCCAATTTTTCATGGGCCCATTTGGGGTTTCCTTAATAAAGATACTGGAGTAGTTTGCCATTTCCTTCTGCAGCTCATTTTACAGATGAGGAAACTAAAGCAAATGGGGTTAAGTGACTTGCCCAGGGTCATACAACTAGTAAGTGTCTGAGGTCAGATTTGAACTCAGAAAGATGAGTCTTCCTGACTCCAGGCCTGCTACTTTATCTACACTGCCATTTAACTATCACTTCTTTTTATTTACACTCAAGGAAATCAAGAGCTATTGAGTTTATACCACTGTGCTAAGCTTACACAGCTAGCTAGTTGAAGACCAGGAAGTACCCTTCAGGCCCTTCTATCTCTCAAACCAATATCTTTCAAACTACACCATAATTACAGTTCTTCTAAAAGCAAAACTCATGGTCACTTGAGAAAAAAGTAGTTTCCCCTGATATCACTCAGGACCCATGGACATAATTCTAGACTCTTCTCTGCTAAGATTTTCCCCCACACAGTCAGGCTTTGTGTGTTGGTACAGAGGTAGGTAAATTGTTGAATAATGAATAGATTTCCAAGGAGGCAGGGGGGAAAGGACTAGAAAGTAAAAGAAAATCAAAGACATCATTTTACTACTTCTTAGTTGTATGCATAGGACTGATTCTATAACACTTCCAATTAAGATCAAAGTAGAACAAAAAATTACTGTCTGGCATTGCAAATCTTGGTAAGGAGCCCCAAGTACCACTGTTTCCACTGAAGTATATCTTCAGTTTTCAAATATTATTCCCCATATACATTAACTTTTGTATCATCAAGTTATAAGAGGAGGTTATTTTTTTTTTCTTTACTTGGAAACATTTGGGAGGCAGTGCCTTTCTTCTGAAATAACCTCCAATTTGTCCAGTATATATCTTGTTTGTATATAATTGTTTGCATGTTGTTTCCCCCAACTGTGAGCTTTTTATGAGCAGGAACTATTTTTTTTACCTTTCTTTCATAGTAAATATTTAATAAACATCTGTCGACTTGATTTGACATATAGTGTCATTCTGTCTTACAAAGTTCCTGGCCCAATACTTCAAATGTAGTTAAATATTTCTTTAACTGCACTTATTAATACTGAATAAATATTTGTTTGAGTTGAATTAAGATAAATATATTTTAAAATCATTATAAAACATTCTATAAATTAATGTGACTGTGCCTATCAATTTTGCATGGCCCAAATAAATATATCAGTCTGGGCCATTTACCCTGGGGCAGATGAACAAAGATTTTTGGACTAAATAAGCACTTCAAGTTTGTATTTTTTTAAGTGTGTCATTTAAAATATACTTAAATATTTTGATGAATCTGTGCTCACATCAACATGGATCTTTCCTCCAGTATATGAGATACCAAAATATTCATGTTCTCTCATCTTGTGTGTCACTCTTGCTTAAGTCCTTCCACAAGTGCTCTGGAGTGAGGGGTGGTAGTTATCAAATATGAGTACAACCTCCATTAAACTTCCTAAAATTATGTGGATATCATTGGAGTATATAGGAAAAGAAACACAGAGGTTTTTTTTTTTAACTATATCTTTATAAGTATACAGATTCCATTAAAAAAAAAAGCTTATGTTGAGAGTTTTTTGAAGTCTTGTGATTTTATTGGTATGGGGAACTCTTAGTGAGAAAACTCTCTTTATCAATGCAGAAAAATATTTGCTCTGCCACTTATAGTCTTTTTTTTTTTTTTTGGCAAGGCAATTGGGGTTAAGTGACATGCCCAGGGTCACACAGCTAGTAAGTGTCAACTGTCTGGTCTGAGACTAGATTTGAACTCAGGTCCTCCTGACTCTTGGACTAGTGCTCTATCCTCTGCGCCACCTAGCTGCCCCACATTTATAGTCTTAAAGAGTTGCCAGGGACACTGAAAGCTTACATGACTTTTCAGGGTCATAAAGCTAGAGTATGTCAAGCGGCACTTGAATGTGTATCTTCCAGACTTTGAAGGTGGCTCTCTATTTACTACCAGGGTGGAGAACCTGTTCCCTGGAGGCCACATGTGGCCCTCTAAGTCCTCAAATGTGGCCCTTTGACTGAATCCAAACTTTATTGAACAAATCCCCTTAATAAATAATAGAAAAATATATTTATTATGATATAAATATAAGCAATAAATAAATAAATAGTCCCCTTAATAAAAGGATTTGTTCCATGAAGTTTGGATTCACTCCAAGGGCTGCACTTGAGAACCTAGCGGGCCACATGTTGCCTCTAGGCCACAGGTTCTCCACCCCTTTATACCACAACTGTTATCTTAGTACAATTTTTCTGACCAAAAATATCTCTTTCCAATATTCCTAGTCATTTGGCAAAATGAAAGGCATTTTTCGAGGGAAATTTTCAGGTTGCCACCACATATTCCATTCAGGCCTAGAACCAAAATATCACAAGAAAAGCAAATGTCTGAACAAGCTGTAAGAAATGAAACTGAAAATAGAGACTCAATAATAACTGAAGCACAGTCCATAACATGTACTGTTAAGTAATCAGGCACTATAGCCTCAGCTATAATAATTAACATGTTTGCTTCTACTTCAGAATATAGAATTTTTCAACCATGAAACTTCACAACTGTTAATGAGTATGACATTTCATACATTGTAGAATACTAAAAACAACATGAGTACATTGAAGTTAATTTCATGAAAGGCACATAAAGCCAGATTTATATTTCATTTCTTGCCTTTATGCCTGTTGATCCCTTGCCCAGAACTCCTTCTCTCTCCTCTCTACCTAGCTAAATATTTGCCCATCCTT